TTCTAAATGAAGCATTAAAGGCATGCCACACTCAGTTGTTGGGATTCCTATGAGCCGCTAGTCCGACTGTTCGATTCTATGTCAGGTATAAGTAAACGTGATGTTTCATTTTCTCCATTAAATATCCTTTCGAACTACAAAGGTAACCTGTGAAAAATGTAATTTATAATTCACATGTTCACTAACAATTCGTTTGATAGTTAATAAAATAAGTAGTGCTCAATCATATGGATTCGCTGACTCTTCTGTGAACAATAGATGGTTGTCGTTGTACTTTAAAAAAAATAGTGATTTATATTCCACTAGTTATTCTATCACTGACACTGCTGGTCATTACACACAGAAGCTCACAATTTCTATATATTTTCTCGCAAGATTTTTCCCGTCTGAAGCTACAAATTCAGCTCTAAGTTAATCGTTAGGGCTATTTATAGTTCATGAATTGTGAATTCTTATTGTTGCCTGTCTGTTTTTATTGAAAACCACATTACTTTAGGGAACATTTCAAAATTCATGCCGCTCGGTCGATCACTCTGCCGTTCTCATGCTGCTCTGTCGCAACATAACTAATCTATTTTAATTGCATTGTGATATATTATTTGTTTCTTTTGATGTACGCAATGATATACATGACGTATATTTTTTCTAGTTCTATTCAATATTCTGTACTCTTAGACTATTCATTTTCTCCAAAAAAATGAGACAAATTCCATTATGAAGTTTTGAGCGTAATAAGATTGAACGAAATCTTATCGCGAATTAAAAAATTCATTTTTTTGGAGAAAATGAATAGTCTAAGAGTACAGAATATTGAATAGAACTAGAAAAAATATACGTCATGTATATCATTGCGTACATCAAAAGAAACAAATAACATATCACAATGCAATTAAAATAGATTAGTTATGTCGCGGCAGAGCGGCCGATCGAGCGGCATAAATTTTGAAATGTTCCCTTACCATGAAAATCATCTTTTAAAGTTCTGGTGAAAATATTTCCTTTGCTTTGAATACAGCTTTTGATTTTTCTATCTAGCGTTTTAGAAAATAACAAATACATTTCTAAAAGCTTTTTCAAAAAAAAAAAAAAATAAGAAGATATAAAACGTCAATTCAAAAATCTTGAGCTCAAATTACTCGTTATATAATGAGTGATCCAGGTTTAATGGACTTTTCAGTAATTTATATATTTTTCATTTATAATTCGACATAGAAAAAAAATTTTTTTATAAAAAGAGGCTGTGGATGGCCATGGGTAACTCCGGTATAACTATCCACACCGATGCCCAACTCATAAGAATCACCGAAACTCAGGTTAGATCACAAAATCACAAATCGCTATTTCCTGCTTGAGATAATCCCATCCCACATGGGACAAAAAGTTTTTGAGACCTATGGTATCCTATGATACAGTTCGAGATAGATCGTCCCATCTTATCTCATGCAGAGCCCAGCTGTAAAGACCAAAATTGTTATAACTACAAAACATCGTGAGATACGAAGGAAAAAGTTTATTTGTGTATGTAGACGAGCAACTCTAGTATGTGCACAAAATTTCAGCCGAATATCATACCATAGCATGAAGTTCTTTTCTCAGGGAAAGTGGGGGCTTAACATGGAAAAAATTCAATGTTCGAATGATAAGAGAAACTCATTTCTTAGCGATAATTCCAATACTAGGAGGTAAACGAACGAAATCATCAAAGAATGAGACATTTTCGATCCTCGGATTGCACTGAATTGGAACCCATTCGAATGATGAAAAGCCGCATTCTTTGAATAAATCTTCGTAAGTCGAAGGAAACATAAAATAATTAAAAAAAACACAATAGGAAGGTGTGTCACCATCCAAATAAAGTGTATATTTGATGGGTACACCTTCATATTCTCGAAAGAAACCATATTTCTTGTGTATTGGGTTATA